CATGACGACTTGTCAAGAAATCATTGTAGGCACTGGTGGGCTAAGTTGCTTGGCCAGCCGGGTGTGAGACGTTGCGGTAGGGTTGCTGGTGCTGGGAAGAGAATCTCGGACCTTCATACGTACGTCAATTGGGGAAGGTTTGCTGTTGGTGGGAAGTGAATCTCGTACTTTGGGTCGTACAACGTCAGTTGAGTAACTGACACGTAAAGTCTGCGGTTGAAATTCATCCCGGTGCTTCCCTGGTTGTGGGAGACTGCCAGGCAACCGAGGTGGTTCCATCTGCTCATTTTGAAGCGAGTGCTGCTCATCCACGTAGGACTTGACCCGCGTATCTGGGCCCTCTTCTCCCAACTCATCGAGGTCGAAGTTGAGAGAGGCAGCGTTGCTGAAAGTAAAATGTTAAGGAAGAACAGAATGCCAACTAAAGTCTTTCTAGCAAAGGCCACGGAAACTCGCCGGCCATGAGCAGCATTTCTTTCCTATAGGAGAGGAAACAAATTACTGATGGGGAAATAACCCCACAACATTGGGGGAGAAGCTCTGCGTTCTCTCCCCTCCCCCAATCTCAGCTTTGGGGGAGCCAAATCAGTCAATGGAACAGCTTGTCTGCTGAAGCCATGGGGGCTCCATCCCTGGAGGGTCTCAACAAGAAATTTTGGGGGTTCCTGCCTGAGCAGGAGGGTTGGACTAGTCCAGGGGTCGCCCACCTTTTGGACCTCAGGGACCACCAAACTCATCCTTTTAAACCCCGCGGACCAGAGACCCTGGGAAAAAAACCCCAAAAGTCTTCAGGAAAATCCCCCACCCCGTTTTCCTACCAATTGATCGTTCTTTATTTGGGATTGCAGGATACCGTCTCCAGCTCTGTTCTCGGGGGGGGGGGGGGGGAGAGAGAGAAAGAGAGAGAGAGACTTTTGGCTTCATGCAAGGAAAACAGCAGGAGACGCAGAAGTCTTTCTTTCTCTCCCCCAAACTCTGCCAGAAATGAGTCTTTGCCGGCGCAGCCTCTTGGAGCAGGAGGCCTTGCAGGGTCCCCAAGACTCGTTTCTGGCGGAGTTTGGGGGAGAGAAAGAAAGACTTTGGCTGCTTTTCTTGCGTGCAGCCAAAAGCAGAAGAAGGAAGAAGCGGAAAGAAGCAGCCTGGTGGCCAGGCCAGGTGCGTGGGGCTAGTGGGGCAAGTTCCCCCTCCGCCCTTTCCCCCCCTCCCCTCACTACCCCATGTTGTTCACAATGCAAGCGACGCAAGCCTTGTGTTCCCGCACAGCCTGGATTAATTACTTTGGGGGGGGGCATTTCTCTGCGGACCACCAAAATTTTCTTGTGGACGACCACCGGTCCTCGGCCCATTGGTTGGCGACCCCTGTTCTAGGGGACTCCGAGTTCTCTTCCAATGCCGTTATTCCGTTTGTTACAACGTGATGAAAAATACGTGGACTTCCTTAGCTGCAGAGGGGGTGAACCCTGGACTGGGAGGGGGCTCTGAAGGGCCCATTCCCTGCTGGGGGGGGGGCAAATGAAAGCCTCCAGGCAGAAGAGCCCTGTGCCTGGGGGTGGGGGAGGTCCTGCACGCCATCCCCCCCCCCCAGAGCTGCTGCCCCTCCCGAGCGGGACCCCCAGGGATCTCCTCTGCATCTCCTCTCCCCAGGCCCCTCCCAGCCCTCTTCCCTCCAGAGGGGGCTCAGCTGCTGGAGGAAGCTGGCAGCCCCCCCCACCCCCACCCCCACCCTCTTTCCCTGAGCCTGTTTTCGAGTTCCCAAGATAGCCAGAAGTGGAGCCAGGCTGAGCCAAGTGGAGCCCAGCCACCTTTCCTGTTCACATTATTTTCCTTTATTTATAGGGAAAAAAAGGGGGGGGGTTGCTCTTCCTTTCTCCCTTAAATGGCTTCAGGCCATCCACCCTTCGCCTTAAAAATAGCAGCTGCAGAATATCAGGCTTTGCTGACCGCAGGACAAGCCGCTCCGGAGCTGCAGGGAGGGGCAGGGAGGGAGGGAAGGGGCCATCAGCAGCCTGCCTGGAGGGGCCAAGGGCAGCGGGGGGGGGGGGGGGGAGAGGCCAGGTAGCAGCCCAAAACGCCCCCCCTTCCCCAGGCACCTGGCAGTGACCATGGGCAGGGAGGGACAGTCCAAGGAGAGGAAGGGGGGGGTCTTCCTGGAGCGGAGACCCTGAGCTCTTCCTTCACCTGCAGGGCTGAGAGGTCGAAGTGGGGGGGCTCCCTCCTCTCCCTCCTGCCTCTACCCCCCCCCCCCACTTTCCAAGGAAGTTCAGGCATTTCTGTGTCCCAAACAAAATTGCTCCGTTGCGAGTTTCTCCTGGGAACCGTCCCTGCGTCGCGTCAGCCGGCCTGGCACCCATCCGAGCGCCATCGCAATGGGGCAGCTGGCCAGGACTGCCTGTGCCTTCCGTGGTGCTGATGAGGTCCCGGTTTGGCCATCCTGGGGGCAACTGCACCACGCACGCACACACGCACACACACACACACACACACACACCGACTTTGGTCACGCCAGGCTCTTCTCCGTCGTCTCTGGGTGCCTGGTGGGAGGGGCTTCCCACGACCTCCCCACTCGGTCTCTCAAAGCTGTTTTCCAATAGGCAACACTGGACTTTCTTGGTTTTTTTTCCTTGAAAACATTTTGCTTCTCCTCCAAGATGCTTCCTCAGTTCTGACTGGACAAAAGCCCAGTTGCCGTTTGGAAAAGCAGCTTTGGGACCGTCACGGCCCGGAAGACCCGAGAACCCCCAGAGACAGGAGGAACTGCCCGGTAGAAGAATTAATCGGTGGAAAGGCGCCCCTCCAGCAGGTGTGGGGCCCCCCATCCCCGAAGTGTTTAAGAAGAGACCGGGCAGCCACCTGTCTGGAACGATATCGGGTCTCCTGCTTGAGCAGGGGGGTTGGACTAGAAGACCTCCGGGGTCCCTTCCAGCTCCGTTTTCACCGGCTAGCCCCTTCTCGAATGAATCTCCCGGCTGGAAGAGGCTGAGCCAACAGAACGCTCCCCCGGCTGCCATTCCCTTGTGGGGCTGATCCACCTGGCAGGGAAAGGCCAAGCCGTCCTTCCTGGACCCCCCCCCACCCCCCCAGGCGGTCTTTGGGCAACCCTGGGGCTGGGGAGGGGAGGTCGGCAGCCGGAGGACAGCGGCCAGATCCCAGGCCGCTTCTCCCCCTCATTTCTTCCAAGGAAATCCAGTAAATCTAACTCAAGTGTCCGAGCGAAATAAACAGCGTGTGGGGGGGTGGGATCAGCTGGATCAGGAAGCGCCCAGGTTCCCAGGAGTGGGGAGGCCTCGCCCAGAGGTCCCCCGGGGGCAGCCTGGCCCTGGGCCACGCTGGGATGGTCCCCCGGCCCCTGTTCCCCCCACCCCCAGAGTCCCTGCCCCAGGAGGAGGCAACCTGGGGGGGGGGGCCCTTCTGGCCTCTGGGGAGGAACCTCTGCCCCTTGCGGGAGGGAGGGAGGGGCGGCCCCCCAACCACGGGCCCAGCTTCCCTTCTGGGGACCTGAGGAAACGTGGGCGTCCCCACAGCAGGAGCGTTGAAACGGGGGCCGTGAGCCTCTCTGTCCTCGGGCAGAAACACGAAGGCTGTACAACTATGGGATGGGGGGAGGAAGGCCTGCACCCAACGGGCATAAAAGACGATCTGAGGGGGGTCCCCACAAGGGAATGGCAGCTGGGGGGGGTCTGTGTGCTCAGCCCCCCACCAGGGTCCCAGACCCTCTTCCAACTGGGAGGCTGAGCAGAGAAGAGCCTACTACTTGGACCTCGGGGAGAGGGGAGGAGAACGGAAGAGAATGACAGAGTCGGAAGGGACCTTGGAGGTCCTCTAGCCTAACCCCCTGCTCAAGGCCGGGGACCCTAGACCGCTGCAGGCCAACGGCCGTCCAGCATCGGAGCTCCTGGGCCTCAGGATACAGGTTTGCTTTCCAGCTCCTTAGCCCGCGTCCAAGGGAGGCTCCTGGGCTGGGGAAAGCAGGTGTGCGAGTCGTGTTGTCCAGGTGTTCTTAGCGGGGCCGATACCCGCTGGGCCTCTGCTTGCGCCACAGCCCCAGCTCAGGGCCGCTCTTGCTTGGCTGGGACAGCGGCCACCCTGGGCCCCTTCTCTTCTCGCCACCAGCACCTGGGTCGCTTCTCTTCTCGCCACCAGCACCTGGGCCGCTTCTCTGGCTGCAATTCGCCCACCCACCGGGGTTTCCTTTGCAACGCCTGTTTTCAGCCTCCCCGATGAAGCTCACCAGCATCTTGGCTCTTCCTTCTCCAATCTCTGTGCTGCTGGGTGTGGAATTTAGGGAGGGGGAGAGAGGGAGAAAGGGGGAGGGGGGAGAGGGGAAAGGGAGAGAATACAATCTTTTGCAGGACGAGCGGTGCAGTTGGGGGACACGGAGCTCGGGGTGCCCAGGCCTTCAGAGGGCGCAGCTGCACCAGGCCAACGTTCATGGCGGGCCCCCCGCTGAGCCAGGCAGGGCCAGCTTTTCCCTCCAGACGGTCCCTGGCCTGAAGCCCCCAAGTGGCAGCCCCCCACCCCCCCTGGGAAAACCCCCGGGAAATTCCCCCTCCTGGGCTTGGGAGAAGGCAGCTGCTGCCCCTGAGAGGCGGGCTGAGCGTCCCGGATCGGATCCCCTGGACGTGCTTCTCCTTCCCTGGGCCCGGCCCTTCTGGGGTGGGGCCTTCCCAGCAGTGACTAGCGGTCCCGGGGGAGGGGGGGCTGAGCCTGAGAAGGCTCCCTCCAGGCATCCTCGCCTGGTTCCCAGCTGGCCGCTCAGGCCCCTCCGCTTCCCCAGAGACGTAACCGGCCTCCTCCTGCGGGGCAGCTGGGGAGGGTCTTCCTTCCTGAGGGAGAAGGGCCGGGTGGGGCCCAGACGGGGGTCTTCCCAGGGCAGCCCAGGGGCTTGGGAAGCTGCACTGAGAGGCTCCTGGGGGATGCGCGTTGAAGGCACCAGAGAAGGAAGGACGGATCCACGGGGGCCCTGAATTTAGCCACCGTGTCCAAGGAGAGACGGAGGGGAAATGATCTCGCAAGGTAAGTTTTCCACCAAAGTTTCAGCACCGCAGGTTTGCTCTGTGTGTGTGAGAGAGATTTTACTGACTAACAGAACAACAGAGTTCGAAGGGACCCCGGAGGTCTTCTAGTCCCACCCCCTGTTCAAACAGGAGTGGCTGTCCAACCTCTTTTGGAAAACCTCCAGGGATGGAGAAGCCACCACTTTCCGGTGGCGGGTCGTTCCACCACTTGGTCAGGAATGGTCTCCTCCGTTCCAGGTTGCTTCTCTCCCTGGTCGGTTTCCCTCCGTTGCTCTCAGGGGCTTCAAAGAATCGGCTGACCTCCCCCCCCCCCCCCCTCCTTGGGCCCAGCTGCCCCCCGATACGACGGGCCGACTGCTCCCCTTCGGCCGCTGCCTCCCCTCCTGCTCCAGGGCTGCACCCACCGGGGCCTGCGAGCAACGCCCTTCCCGGCTGCTGGGGGACAACGGAGGGCGAACCGAGGCTGGAAGCCCCCCACTCCTGGGGCCGGTGGGGTGGGGGCTGGTGCGGCCCGGTTGTGGCTCTTCCCACGCCCACCTCAGGGGCCCCTTGTGAGTCCTGGGTGCGAATCCCTCAACCCCTCCACGCCCTACAGAGCCCCAGGCAGGGGGCACAGGTCTTCCTGCCCCACTTGACTTTCTCCTTCAACAACGACCCTGCGGGGCAGGCTGGCCCAGAGCGTTTCCACGGCTGGATCCTCCATGCAGCCCCTCCACCACCGCCACCACACTTGGGATACAGGGACCCTCGATTTACAGCAGTTCATTTAGTGACTGCTTTAAATGGCACTGAAAAAAGGGGCCGAGGACCGTTTTTCACACTTACGACCCCTTGGTCACGTGATCCAAATTCAGCCCCTTGGCTACGGACTCGTATTTATGACGGTCTCCCCCCTCCACGGGGTTTTTGTCAGCTCCTAGCAAGTCAACAGGGGAACCAGAATCACTTAACAATGGGGTTACTAATTTAACAGCTGCCGCGATTCACTTAACAATGGTGGCAAGGAAGGTTGTCAAATGGGGCAAAACAACGGTCTTGCTTGGCGACAGACCTTGGGGGGCCGATCTGTCATGGTAAGTCAGGGAGACGTTGTCCTGGGGGCCTCGCTGGGGAGGCGGTGAGGAGAAGCGCTACCAACTCTGCCTCCTTTCCCTCCCGCAGACGTGGGCACGGGGCCTCCGGACGCCACCCTGGCAGCGCCCTCGGCGAACAAGAGCCTGGGCAGCCTCTCCGCCTTCACCTTGCAGGGCCTGCCCGGCCTGGAGGCTGCCCACTTCTGGCTGGCCTTCCCGCTGTGCGCCCTGTACGTGGTGGCCCTGGTGGGCAACTCCATCGTGGTGCTGGTCATCCGAGCCGAGCCGGCCCTCCACACGCCTATGTACTTCTTCCTGGGCATGCTGGCCGGGGTGGACCTGGCCCTGGCCTCCTGCACGATGCCCCGGGTCCTTTCCCTCCTCTGGCTGGACGCCAAGGAGATCGCCTACCAGACCTGCCTCCTGCAGATGTTCTTCATCCACTCCCTCTCGGGCATGGAGTCCGCCATCCTCTTGGCCATGGCCGTGGATCGCTACGTGGCCATCTGCCGCCCGCTCCAGTACGCCGCCATCCTCACCAACTCCGTGACGGTCAAAGTGGGCCTGGTGGCTGTGGTGAGAGGGCTGGCCTTCTTCCTTCCTCTGCCCTTCCTGCTCAACCGCCTGTCCTTCTGCGAGTCCCGGGTCCTCCGGCATTCCTACTGCCTCCACCAGGACATGATGAACCTGGCCTGTGACAAAGACAAGCTGGCCATGAACGTCGTCTACGGCCTGATCGCCATCAGCCTGGTGATGGGCTTGGACTTCCTTCTCATCCTCGCCTCCTACCTGTTGATCCTGAAGGCCGTCCTAGGGCTGAGCTCCTGGGAGCAGCGTCTCCGAGCCGCGGGCACCTGTGTGGCCCATCTCTGCATGGTCCTGGCCTTCTACCTGCCCCTGATTAGCCTCTCCGTCATCCACCGGTCCACAGAAGACGTGTCCCCGCTGCTCCAGGCCATCCTGAGCAACGTCTACCTCCTGGTTCCTCCTGTCCTCAACCCCATTGTCTACGGGGCGAGGATGAAAGACATCCGGAAGCGGGCCTTGAAGTTCATGAGGCTCAGCCGGAACAGGGAGCCCCACTGAAGCCAGCTGGCTGGGTGCAGGAAACCAAGCCGGGGGGTTGCTTTCTTCATCCCAGGAGGAGGAGGAGGCAGAGGGAGACAGGCAGGGCTGGGATGCAGCCGGTTTGGACCGGTGCGGGCGAACCGGAGGCTAAACTTGCACGTGGTTCACCAAACCGGGAGTTGTACCTACCGGCTGGCCCCGCCCAGCCCTCCCCTCCTGTCCCAGGAGTCGCCACACAGCCCAATTTCAACTCAAGTAGGTGCAGCGCCTGGCAGAGGCTCTGGGAGGGGGGGAAATGGGCCCTCCGGAATGACCGGAAGTCTGGAAACGGGCTTGCTCCCGGCTTCTGGAGGCCCTCCAGACCCTGGGGAAGGCGAAATCCCAATAGGCCCCACGCCCACCCAGCAACCAGGCCGCGAACCGGCTGCTGGGAGTTTTGAATCCCACCCCGGAGACAGCAGGCCACACCTGAGGCCCACGGGGTCCCAGGTCAACTCCCTTCTCCCACCGGTCCCTGCCGCCTTCCTGTTGTGACGGGGATGATGGCGGGGATGGAGGAGGAAAGCTGAGAGGTGCCCTGCCTCTGCTGGACCCTCGGCCTCGCGCTTGAGGTCCAGGCACCGCGAAGGATTGAGATATGCCGTCCGAGGAAAGGGGTTGGGCCGGGGGCTGCTTGGAAGAGGGACCCTCTGCCGCTTTTCTCAGGACCGTTTCCTCCTGGAGGGCCTAATACCTCGAAGGCTGCGGGACTTCCAGAAGTGAGGCTCTCCTTAACAAAGTGAAGGCCGCACAGAAATGTTTTAGGTTCACCTGTGAATAAACTTGCTCCTTGTAGTCTCGGCCTCTGCTCGGCTCTGCCTTCCTCAGTTGGGACCCCGCTCCCATGGTCCGAAGGGGGTCCCTCCTGCCCAGCACGGCTGAAGGCTGAGGCACCCCCCAACTCCCAGGAAGAACGTGTGGGAGTGTGTGTGTGTGTGTGTGTGTGTGATTAGAATGATTAACTGGTGGGACGACTCGTCCCCAGAAGTGGAGGTTCTAAGAAGAGATTTCTCAGACATGGTATCGGGTTTGCTGCCTGAGGAGAGGGTTGGACTAGATGGCCTCCAAGGTCCCTTCCAACTCTGCCCTTCTGTCCCCATCCCGCCCTTCGAGCCTTCCAGAGGGGGAAGCGTCCTCGTCTCCCCTGGCCTCCATACATTCCAATTCCCTTTTCTGAATATCCGGAAGTGGAGAGAATAAAGAGGCTGTGACCGTCCCTCTCGCCACCCGGCCATTCGGAGGACCTGAGCGGCACGGGGCCAGCTGGCTAAAGAGAGAACTGGGCTTTCACCGGTTGGGGGCCACCAAGGTAAAGAATCCCCCTCCCCACCCCCGGGCCTCGGTCGGGCCCAGTGGAGGGTCAGTTGGGCAGCAGCTCCCTGGTCCGTACTATAAGCCCCCCCTCCGCGCCCATGCAATGCTGCGTGGGGCAGGTGCGACACCCCCAGAGGCCCTATCAGCGCACGGAGGAGCCCCCCAGAGGGAAAGGGCTCCACGGGTTCCTCCACAGACCCCCCTCCTTGTCTGCCAGCCTGCCTGCCTAGAGCGGAGGGGGGGGTCTCCAAATCGAGCAACTCTGAAGCCTTGTGGACTTAAAGGGGATCAAATTGGCCGAGGAATTCTGGGAGTTGAAGTCCACAAGGCTTAAACGTTGCCAGGTTTGGAGACCTCCGGCTTATGGCAATGGCATAGCTGCCCATCCTAAAACCCAACACTGGGCAGCTTGCCTCCAACAAAGCATAGAATAACAGAGGCCTTGGAGAGGGGACCTGGGAGGTCTTCTAGTCCAACCCTCCAAGGCCTCTGGTGGACGGTCATTCCTCGGGGATGGCCTGGCTCCACAATGCCCCCCCCCCCAGAGGAGTCGCTCCACCACCTGATGGTGCCCCGGCTGTAGGGACCCAGGCGTGGGCTGGTCTTTGGAAGGGGGGAGCTTTGGGGAGGAGGCTCATTCCACCCCAGGCCCAGAAGCCTTCCTCGACCCAATCCTCCTCACTTCCGTGAGGGAGGAGTAGGAAGACTAGGAGGGAGTTGAGGGAGGGTTCCGTGGATGGAAATCCTAAAGGGAGAAGCAAGAACAGAACAGAATAACAGGGTTGGGAGGGACCTTGGAGGTCCTCTAGTCCAACCCCCCCTGCTCAGGCAGGAGACCCCAGACCAGTTCAGACAAATGGCAGTCCGGTCCCTTCTTTAAAACCCCCAATGTTGGAGCGTTCACGGCTTCTGGTGGCAGGCTGTTCCACTGGTTAACTGTCCTCAGGAAATCCCTCCTGAGTTCCAGGTTGCTTCTCTCCCTGGTTAGTCTTCATCCGTTGCTTCTTCACAACGCACCAGCTGTGGGCAGGAGGCCCTCAGTCAAGGGCAGAACCACCTCGTCAAGGGATGCTACGAGTTGGACTCCATGGGTAGAGGAAGGACATGGGTGGGGAGGGGGCAGCGCCCCCCAGTGGCTCTGGGCTTTGCTCCTCTTTCCATGTGGAGCCTCCTGGAGGTTCAGATGACCCGAGAGAACCGGGGTCTCCGCGAGCACGTGGCCCCCGTGGAGGAGCTCAAGGGCGCCTGTGTCTCCAGCCTCGCCAGCTGCTCTTGAAGGACCAGCCTCCGTCTCGTCCCAAGCCCAAGCCAGCTCACCTGCTGCTCAAGTGGGGAGGGCGCTGGGGAGAACCATTAAATAAAGGTGGCCAAAGGAGGGACAGGATGAAATGTGAACGACAGAAACGTACAAATATATTTTAATCCATTTTAAATAATTAAATTGAATTGTCCCACAGTGAGTTGCCCCGTTCCTGTAGGAAAATCGTGTTTCCCGCCTTCCTCCAACACAAACCCTCCGAGTGGCTCAACCTCAGCTGCCGGCAGCCAAGCCCACGGAAGGGAACGGACGGCGATTCTTCCAGCTCTTTGGGCTGGGACGGCCCCTTTCCTCTCCAGTCCCCTCTTGTCCGCTCCACGAGGCCGACGAGGCAGGCCGTCCACTCCCCAGCAAGGCTAAAACCCCTTTTGTTGAGCTGGGCTGCAGGGACGGAACCGTGCCAGGGGGGCTGGGCTGGTCTCCTTCTCCCACCCTCATTGTCCCGTGAATTAGGGAGGCCTCTGCCTGAACCACTTCCGGATAAAGCTGCCTCTTTGGGGTCACAAAGTGGGAATTGCCTGCCAGGCCTGAGAGTAACACTCCATGCAAGAAGAAAGGGTGCTGCGAAAAAGCATCCAGGCTGGCCATCCTGGCTTGTTTCTCCGTTTGCTGTCCTTGCCTTTTGCAACAGCAGCAGCGGCTGGGTACAGAAAACGGTAACCCTAAAGCGGGAATCCGCCCCAGAGGCACCGAACCAGGGAGCGGTTCTTCCACCCCCCCCCCCATTTTATGTGTTTGTAGGTACATTTTATTAGCCACCCACCTTACCACACGGTAACTCTGTGCAGTTTGCAGTAGAAAAGCTCAAATGGCACAAAACCTAATAATATAAATGGATACAAGGCTATAAAAATACCAAGCTAGCTAAACAGATGGGGAGGGAGGGGGGGGAAATCTGTCCTTAATCTACCAGCCACCCCCAGTGTGAAAGGCCTCCATGGGGGGGGCCAAGCCAACGGGCAGAGCCAAGTCTTCCAGCCCTTGCAGAAGGTAAGGAGGCTCGTGGGGGGGGGGGGCGTGATGGGGGGAGCAAGAGGTTCCTGGGGGCGATTTTACTCCCAGAAGCCGTGGGACTCCCGTGGAGACGTTGCACACCTGGGCATTGTGTGCATCCAGAATCCCCCTGGGAGCCTCTGCCTGCCCAGTATCTTCATCCGGTCCCTTTGCTACCTGGGGGCGCCTGAACTATATATCCCAGCAGATTCTGCCTCTTTGGAGGTTGTGGAAAGGCCCGCCGCTGATCTAGTCAGCCAGACCCGAGGAGTCTCGCAGGTGCGTCCATGTTGTGGCTTGGAGTGGCTGAGCATGAGTGTGTCTGTGTGTGTTCGTGAGTGCAAAGTCTCGGTGTTGCCTGTTTACGCATGGCAAAAAGGATGTGAGGGAAGGTAGTTTATTTGTTTTTAAAATGTGCCCCTGTCTCCACTCAGTGCCTCTGGCTGGCTTGCAATGCCACAAACAACAGAATAAAACAGTTGCAGGATTAGAACATTAAAGCGCCCAACATTAAAAATGAAGGCATACAATCAATATTAAATTGGAAAAAAGGAAGCAATGTATACACAGGGTGGAGGTAAGTCACTTTTAAGCTTGAGGCTCTTATTGTCCCCTGATTATAAGCTAAACCACTTCCTTAACGAAGGTATACAGAGCCCCGCCTTAAAATAGATTGTGTGTGGATCTTTAGCAAAGGAGGCCAGGTGAATTCAGCGGGTGCACACCTGAATGGGAAACCATAGTTAACCCTAGTTAGACTAGCATTGTTGATGTTACTTAGTTTGGGTGGTGAAACATCTGCAAGAAAACCACCAAGCTCAGAGATCACCAAGGACCCCCCCCAGAGTTAATCTAGTTAACCATAATTAACCAGGACAGGGAGCACCATCAACCAACGGAACAGAAGTTGCCTTCAGAAGTTGTGGGTTCTTCGTCACTGGAGCCTTTCAAGAAGAGACCGGACTGTTCTCGGTCAGAAGCGGTGTAGGGTCTCCTGCTTGGGTGGGGGGCTGGACTAGGTGACCTACAAGGTCCCCTCCAACTACTCTACTCTACTCTCTACTCTACTCTACTCTACTCTACTCTACTCTACTCTACTCTACT